TGTATTCTTTGTACTTGTTTTACCATACTAATCACTGGAGCTCTAATGTTGAATTTTTCTGTGCTGTGCAGGCAGTCCTGTCGTCTTCCCCATGCTCTGGGACTGGGACATAAAGAGTCTGGTCTCTCTCATGAGCACGTTTTTCCATCCTCCAGAATCAGTTTCATGTCTTCATCCTGTCCTACTCCTGTTCTCCTGGTTCTTGTCTGGTTTTTAAGCAGATTGTTTTGCTTGTAATGCTTCCAAAGTGACTGCTCATACTGTAGATTCGAGGAAGAATACCAAACACTAAAATGGATAAATAGACAGCTCGTTCTGTCACGTCTAATTATACATGATGACAAAAGAAAGCAAAAATTCTTTTGTCAGAAATCTTGTAAATGGACTTGCATTTGAGTTAAAGCTGAAAATGCAAACTCTTCTTTCTGAGATTGCAGTCTGATCTTTTGTAGAGCTACAAAGGTACAGTGGAGGTGAAATGTGTCTTTGGGTGAAGTTTCATAATTGGCATAAGTTCATCATGGAGTAGGGTCTGCCCTCTGCCTCCCACCTGTATATTCCTGATGCCTCCCTTCTGCATTATTGTTTGTATAGTAGCAAAAACCTCTTGAATGACACAAGCATTCAGAATTTGTATCACCTTTCTTACCTGGCTGACCATTGAGTCCCGACTGCAAGTCTTGGGACAAGGGAACAGGGCAGGAGCGCGTGGCCAGGAGAAGGGCAGAATTGTCTTTTCCAGCATGAACTGGAGGTGATTTGTGCCTGTTGTGAAACCGTGCCCTGACCTCTTTCTGAAGAGTACAGTTCTGTTTTTCACTTGATGTGTAATGATTTTCCAAGTAAAGAGTGAAAACAGCTCTGCTGAAGAATAACTTAAAAGAAAAAAAGCAAATTTTTTCTGGCAAGTTCACGTTTCTCAGCTCCTTTTGTAGGAGCAATGATTTTTGACAGTGTAAATCTCCATCTAAAGCATGAGAAAAGAAGCCAGGTTTGCTGTGTGGTAAATTAGCCAGCCTCTGCCCAATTTGTATGCAGTAAAGAAAGTGCTGCTTAACAATAAATGAGTGAGCACTAATGCAACATTAAGACATGATTTGCATCCATGCAACTACAGAAATCAAACACTAAGGTTAACATGTCTTCTGCAATGTGTCATCTGTTTAGCTGTCCTGTTGCAACACATCTGTCTAGTCTGTTGATAGCAGCTGTCCCATTGAAGCCAAGAGCACTTCCAGAGGTAGATTTTTGGGAGTTCTCTCTGAGAAGAAGGGGAGCTGTTGTGTTCTGCTTAGCTTTGTTGCTTTCCTTTAGAGCTTGATAGAAGCAGAGCACATGCACTGGGTAATAAACGCAAGCTCGTTCTGTCTCCGCTGGGTCCTCAATGGAAGGAACTCAGTAACAAGTGTGTGGTCTCAACAAGAAGTAGCTTTGGAGACAGGTTCCTGGTCCTGTTCCCAGTTCTGTGTTGGCTCATTTGTAAGCCACTTAACCCTTCTGTCTTTATTTCATTTTACCTTCACTCTGCTATCTGTGCTAGTGCCATCTGACAGCGATCCTTGAGTAATAAGGCGTTTTCTATTTCCGAACTGCTTTTTAGAAAAAAATGTAGGGGGATTTAATTAGAGAAGAAAGTTAGGGGGTTTATATATATTTTAAAATGACTCCGAACACCAGGGCCTCTTTGGTGGACTTTTTTTAACCCTCATTTGTACCGCATGAGTTTTATGCACTTCAAAACAGCCAAATGGCGTTATTTCAGAAATCCTGTTCTGAAATTCTCTGACCCTTGGAACAAGACTGGTCCCAAGGGCAGAGCTTCAGCTACACCTTTGGGTTTCCTTGTGTCAGGTGGAGCTCAGTGCATACGTTATTGTCTTGCATGTGTCTCATCCCTTTCCTTTTGTTTTTATGAGCGTGTTGTATTTATCATAAGGCTCATTAGGTTAAACTTGCCTGACCAAAATATTGCTTCATGTAGTAAAGTCGTGGTAATTGTTTTGTGCTATTGCACTTTTTAAAAGTTGATCTGAGGGTCCTGTCCTACATTTGATGACACTGCTTGTAAACAGTACAAGCTTGTGGTTGAAGGAGGAGCTTTCTCTCTTACCTAATGTTCGTGTGCCATCAAAAATGTGCTTACAAACTGAAAAGGAGATGTGCACAGACTGTCAGCCTGAATTGGTGGTGTGGGTGGTTCTTGGCAAAACGTATTGAGTCTCTGAAGCTGGTGAGGAAATTTTTAACCGTGGTGTCACAAACTTGATGCGTTAGCAACAGATGTCATTTTCATAAGCCTCTGCTCTCTTAGGGAGCACAGCATGCGAGCAGTATTCACAATCTGCATGCAAAACACACAGTGGTTGATGGCATGAAGTCATGTCTTTTAATGCGCGCTGGCTGGAAGAGCACCTTGGTGTAACATTGCAAAGCTTTGGCTTTGGGGCTTAATTAGACCAAGACGACGGAGCTCCGTGTTGTGCATGGAAAGTCTGTTTGAAGAATGTCAATGAACTGAAAGTCAGAGCAACCATTCTGTTAAAACAATACTTAGCTCTTGCCCCATGTGGTTTAATTTGAGAGCTGAATGCTGATGTGAGTGAAGTGAAATGGAAGAATCCTGTGCTTTCCATCCTTTTACTTTCATCCTTCCATGCACGCAAAATAAAAATGAAAAAAAAAGAAAACAAAAACCTCAGAAAGGGTGTGAACTCCGCTACACCGGTAGGAACTATTTCAAATTAGAAAGATAAGAAGTGACCACTCTGCTATAGTACCCAAAGACTTCATCTAAATTGAAATCACTTGGGGATGAGAGCTGCATAGTGCAGCAGGGGCAGTTAAGCCTGGCAATCATCTTTGAAATGTTGAAGATGGTGGTAGTTCCTAAAAAAATGAAGGGGGAATAACATTTAAAAAAAAAAAAATTTGCATTTATAGCAGCGTAAGTTAAGAAGGAGAGAGGAGTGTGTCTGGCCTTGCTGTCTAGCTGTTACGGTCTGTCAGCATTTGAGCATCACCAGCATGCCTGAACAAAGGAAGAACTTGCACTGGTCCCTCAGCTTTTTGGTGAGGTATACATTTATTGGGACCTGAGGGAGAGGGGAAAAAAAAACAACAACCCCAAAAGCACCAAAAGCTGTGGTTTTGGATGAGTCAGCATTTCCATTTGACATGATCATTCAGAGATTTTTGTAACTCATCTGAAAAAAATACCCAACCAAACAAAAAAAAAAAAAACAAAAAACAACCACCGACCTGGGTCTCAGCCCAAAATTCATTTGCTTTGCAGAAACAAAAGGTTTTGAGTTATGCAAGTGCAAATTTTCCTTGAAGAATATTGTATGTAAAGCCTTTTTTTTGCATTTGTTTATCTCCAAAACAGGTTCATTTTTTAAAATGAAAACTTGAGCCTTCGGTCCCTCCTGTGGACTAATAGCCTTACACAAGGTCTTGTTTCATTTTAGAAAAATGAATTGCTGCGCCGGTGGGGTAGTATTTGATTGCTTTAAAAGTTCCTGTCAGTGTTTTATTTTTGTTTTTCGTTTGTGGACTTGCTGTGCCTTTTGCCCGGCCATATTTAGTCTGCATACTAAATGTTAGTCCGCCCAAACACTTTACTTTGTGCACTTAGCTTTTTTTTCTTTTTTTCTTTTTTTTTTTTCCGTTCTCCTTTTTTTTCCTTTCCTTTTTAATTTTTTTTTTTTTTCCTTTTGCTTTCACCCAGATGTATTTCAGACCGAGACAGACTTTGCTCCGATGGGCCGGATTTTAGTCCGTGCACTAAATTTTAGTCCGCAGACTAAAAAAATAATCCGCGGATTATTTACTAAATCGATTCCCTCACTGAGAACTACAGAGGCCTTTAATCTCCCCGTCGAGACGTTAAGCGTGAGGGGCTTCACGGCTCATGAATCCCGCCGTCTGTCCGTCCTCCCTCCGGCCCCTTCCCGCCATGGAGCGCCGGCCAGGCCTCTCCTTGGCCTAGGCGCCCCGTGGCATGGAAGGGCTGGCATTCCCCTCACCGCTCGTGTAGTTCTCGGTGGGCGAATCGGGCAGCTTTCCCGGGGGAACTGTGTTGAATGGGAAGAGCTAAAAAGACCGCAGGGGTTTTCGCTTTTATTTCTTAGGGCGTTATTCAAAAGGGAGGCGGAAGGGGACAAATTGAGGGGGGAGGGGGGGGGAAACAAAAAATTTCCTTAAGTCACGGGTGCGACGGGTATGAGGGGGAATAAACCCGCAATAGAGAGAAATTCAGTCCATACCCGCACTCCTGAGGTGGTACGTCCAGTTCCTGAAGAATCCTAAAGAGATAACGCCAGCAAACCAAATCCAGTGGCGGGGGAAGTCAATCCAAAATGGAGAATAATCCGCGGCGGCCTGAGGCACTCGTAGCTCACGCAAATTAAAAGCATCCAAATTCAAAGTACAGATCTCGGATTTTTACTTTCTCTTCAGCACAAATTATAAATTGCTAGGCGTTTGGTTTTTTTGGAGAAAAAAAAAAAAACACAAGACAAAACAAACCAAAACAACCCAAAAGTTTACATTGTATCTCTGGGACAAATTTACAAATGGGATGCACCTTTGGGGACAAACTAATCTGGCCCCATTGTCTGTGGACATTTATAACCAGGACCGAGGACTAAAAATTCTTTATGATGGGAATTTCAATTACCCTTTTAGTTCAAGTTAGAGTTTTGATTTCAATTTTTTTTATTTTTTTAGTAAATGCACTGGCATTGGAACATAAATTTAATACAGAAATGTTTCTATACTATGCCTCACCATTGCACAATCGATTTTTTGGCATACACTGTGGTGAAGTTGGACTTGCTGCTATGGAGACTGATGTTTAAAGTTTCTAATTGTATAAACATTTTATATGTCCCCCACACCATGGATTTCTTATAATATTGGCTATATTTTTCCTTGCTGGACTATTCTCTTTTGGATTGACTCCCCCTGTTTGGATTATTTCACTGCATTATCATCTTTAGGACTCGTCAGGAACAGGACATTTCACCTCAGGAGTACGGGTATGTACTTAAACATTTTTTCAAATTACTAGGTCTAGCCTTGAAAAAAAAAAAAAAAAAAAAAAGGAGAGAAATGCTAGAAGTGGAATACTTGAGTTCAGACCGCTTTCCTAGAGGCAGCAGTCAGGTGAATGTTGTAACACAAGGTGATAGAGGTGACATGGGCACAGACCTGTAACTCAGTCCATGTGTTAGTTCACACTTGTTGCAGGAGGAGGCCACGTGTGAGGCCTTCTAATTTCTTTTTGTATTTTTTTCAGTCCCTGGTTTGAAGCAGTTAGGACAGGCTTGGGAACTGCTTACCCCAAGTAACTAATTTCTGATCCAAAGGCAGGCCGAGCAGTTCTTGGCAGGGTTTAGGAATAATAGAGTTTCACTGACTTGAAACAGAGGAGTTTAAGAGTGGACAGTAAGAGTTCTCCTTTTACAGGTGACAGATTTGTGACTGTCTGCCTACTAATTTGCTCAAGATAAGGGCTTTTTGTCTTTGCCTTAAGGGAAAGGATTTATTTATATTATTTTTTTTTTTAAATCTGTATAGTACCTGATACACGAGTTGTCCTGAGGGAAAAACACAGCTAAGAGTGAAGTGTGGTAAATGAAGCCTGTTAAAACATGAGCACAAAGGTGGACGAGGCAGACCTCGGCAGCGAAATACCAAGCGACTTCACTTCTGTGGATTTACCTCATGACACACTCATGTGTGCTACTTACCGTGGGGTTAAAAAAAAAAAAAAATGGTGGTTTTTAATTGCAGAGAGTCTTAGATTTTGTTCTGGTCAGGCTGTGACTGGGGAGTGATACTTGCATCCACTGTGCCCTGTGATGAGCAACCGGAGCACCTCCTGCTGCCTCTCCGTGTGACTGTGTGTTCATGGCACGGTGGTCAGCAGAGGTTCTCTGCTAAAGCCTTATATTTATGTCATTATAGGCCTCATGCAAAAACTTTTTTGGTTTGTTTTGCAATAACCCGGTAGTAGAAACAAATTCTGCTCTTTGACTTCCTGCATTGGGATTCCCTGCCACACAAGTTAGTACAGCACATATGGCACCAAACCTGGGCACTCCTGAGCTAGCTGGGCACCAGGGGGATAAAATTTCAGTCCCTGGAGTTACCCTAGTGTTTGTGTTTGATTCTCATTCAAGAGAGCATCTACGTCTTTGGTTTAAAACCTATCTAAGGAATGCCTGTCCAAGTTCCTCATCTGCGATTAATTAGCATGTTACGCACTGGATTTTTGGGGGGGTTTTATCTCCTTGGTGCTGTGTGGCTTGGGTTCACCTGCACTGGTGCAAAAGCATTTTGGATTAGCTTAATTTTTACTAAAAATGCTGGCATCAGAATTTAACACTTGCACCCACCCTGCTCCCTTTTCCCCAGCCTGCGTACCACCTGCAACATAGGGAGAGACAAGTGCTTGAGGAGGCCATCCAGGTCACATACATGATTAGCTCATATTTTGCTTTTGACGTAATGAGAAAGGAGGATGGGGGTGTGATTAGTGGTGGGTAGAACCGTTCTTAGAGGCTTAAAACAAAGCTGCAGTGAAGAACTCCTTTTTGTAGTCACTCCAGGTAAAAATCTGTTAGAATCAAATATTTGGTTTTCTTTCTTGATGCAATTTTCAGCTGTCCTTACAAATACCAAATGTGCAGGAATTATCCCAGTAAACTTATGGGAATGACTTGCCAGAATAAGGTCACGGAAGGAGTAACTTGCAAATTAGAGCTAGACGTTTCCTGCACCCCACCCGTGCTTTCCTTGTTGTTCTCCAAAGTTGAACAGCAGCCTCCATAGCAACAATCTGACCTGCCTGCCTGCAAAAGTCCGTGTTAGTAAGGCTTCATTCACTAGCCAAAAAAAAAGAAAAAAACCCAACCCAAAACCGTAGCGGGGCCTTATTCAATTTTTACATTCAGTGAATCCTGCTCATTTGAACCCTCCTCCCCACCTTCACTCCACCCCATATGCATGGCTGGTAGCACCTGTGTGTGTTTGTCATGATTTTTTGAATGAGTTTCCCCATCATTCTTCGAGTTGTTTTTCTGAGTGCGCTCTCATGAAGTCTATTGCTGGCATTGCACCCTCACTCTAGCGCAAGGCGTTGCAATTAACCCTTTCTCAACCCCAGGAACTGGATTTTCCCATACTTACTGGAGGACTTTGATTAGTGCAAACCACAAGTTGGTTCCAGCTTGTTGGGCAACGAGAGGTTTAATTGCTCTGACTTGCTTCTGGTCAGCAAAGAAAAGAAACGTACCTAGATAACCCATTTCTCTTTGCTTGTTTTGTTTGATTTATTTTTTTTAAATATAGGTCTTCCGGCCCCGCACTCCACCAGAAGCAATCGCGCTATGTAGCCGTCTGTTGGAGTACACCCCCACTGCCCGCCTGACTCCCCTGGAGGCCTGTGCGCACTCTTTCTTCGATGAACTACGGGACCCAAATGTCAAGTTACCAAATGGGCGAGATAAACCTGCACTCTTCAATTTCACCACTCAAGGTAGCCTGCGAGCGGTTGAAGTATCTCTTCTTTGGGAAGAAGAGCTGGGATAAACGGCCACTGTAATGCAGATCTCACTCTCTCAAAAGTAAAAAAAATTCTGAGCCAGGACTAAAGTTATTATGTGATGGTGTAACCATCTGTCCATTTCAAAAAGAGAGGAAAGGGACTTGGAGAAACAGGTTACAGGATTTTCAGAGGTTTGGTGCCTTCAATTCAAATTTAGTCCAGGGGAGCCAGGGTTGTTAATGGATTGCGTTAAGAAGGCTTCCCTTTGCAGTTCAATGTCGCAACCTAGTTGATGGTTTTGTGTGAAATATCACAGTCAGTGGACCGTGAGGGATGAGATTATCATTTTGGAGATGATCCTGCTCCTTCGTACCTGAGACACCATAGCAAGGAGTAATACATATTAGGCTTGGCAGAGAGGTTTGTAGTGTTGCTACGCATTTTGGTTCTGGATGTGAGATAAATACAGAGGCTCTGGTGTCCAGATTTTATATGCTATACAGTTCATCTGGCATTACATTGATTCAGTCGTTTAGAAACTGTAAAAATGATGGACAACTACCTTTTTTCTTTGAAGCCAGACTGGTGTCAAATTTTAAAACCATTCATGTATTTTTTTTTTCCCCACAGAAATCAGAAATGTAAAACTGATATCCCCCCTAGAATAGTTTTGCCTGCCAAGACAGAGAATGTGAGAAGTATGGCATACAAATATGCTAGTAATTAATTTTGCAGCACTTTTTTTTTTAAAGTGATTAGCTGCCAATTCTCACCCTTTGAGAAAGAATAGATCTGTGTGCATTTTCTGTTGAAAGTTTAAAATACCTTTTGGCTTAGTTAGCATCAATGTAATTTTTCAAACTCTTCAGTGCATGCAATGCCCGTCTGCCAAAACATGAAACAGAGCCCTCTCCTTGAACATGTGGAGCCCTTCTATTTAAAAAGAAAAAAGGAGGGTGGGGGGCAAGCTTTGTGTCTGTTCAAAGTAATAATTTTAAACTGCCAAAAGTAAATTTTTAACTTGTTTTGAGTGGCTGTCTTGCAGAAGGCAAATATATTGAATATACTAGAGCATTACCAAAGCATGAACACCTGAAAGAGTTTAAGAAAATAGCTTATGCTTCCAGTCACTGTCTTCTGTGCTGATTCCTGCATCTGTTGTTATGAAGTTAGTAGTTATGTTACAGGTCCTTCCTTGTTGCAGTATTCATTAATTGTCATTTTTCATATCCTAAGGTCATGTTCAGTAGCTAAGATAGTTATGATCCCAGTATCTTAATGCAGCTTCACTGCTATTCTTTTTTAATTTCTTATTGTTTCTTAATTATGTTAAGACTGGTCCTATCTACTACATGAAAACGATGATTTTTTTAAAAGGATTGGAAAGATCTATAGTAAGTCATTTTTTTTTTTTAATTCTTAGGGGAAAAAAACCAAATGTATATATAGGGAATGTGTTCCTGGTTTCCCCCTAGGCAGTTTGGGATGCTGGGTATGCTACCCTAATGCATACCCTTTAAAGCTCCTTTTTTGCCATCATAAGGAGCTGATGTGCTCTTTCCTTGCACAGTGACTCATCAGAATGGCAAAAGAAATAAATTCCATTGGAGCGTTTTCCTTAAAATGCAAAAAAGCAGGTTTCTGTCATCGGCAGGTGCCAGATTTACCATCTAAATGGAAGGCAGGACAGAGGCTGGTCATTAGCGCATTTCCATATAAGCTCTGTTGCAGGTGACCAGCCAAACTCAAAAAAATGACCAGAGTTTTAAAAAATAAGTAAATACATTGCTTAGCGCAGTCATTTTAAGGCCTTTGTAATTAATGTAAGTGCAGCAGTGAGTCTCGTGTAACAGCAGTCCTGATTACAGCCTCAAGATACACAACAAGTTTTTGCTTCTCCTGTGACCACTGTGCAGTCCTCAATCTTTAGCCAGATTGTGCAAGGTCCTGTCAAATTGGCTAGAAGAGCAGAAATCCCAACTGGGAAATAGATCAGGTCATTGGAAATCAGGTGATGACTCATGTTAAGTCATCTGTAGTAATTTTAAAACTAATGAAAGACGGCTTTTTTGAACGGCATTTCTTTCAACAGACAATATTAAGTTTTAGAAGAAGTGTTTTATTTGGCTATATCCAGTTGACCGAAACCCATGAAGTAGGAGGTAGCTTCAGAAGGCTTGAAGGCAAAACTGTTAGAAATAACAACATAAATCTGACCGTTAATGCATCGGATTGATTTTTCGGAAAGAACCTAAGCGTCATACCAAATCTGCTGATCTGGGCACTGATGCTGCTCAGATAGTCTAGAAAAAAAGCAGTGAGAGTATATGGAAGATAAAGATCATGGTCTTTGGCTGCCAGCAGTAGTTGTGGGTCATACAGGTGCTACTTTATTGTAGCAATAAGATCTGTCAGAGAGCTTTATCTGGTCATTCTTAATATCTTCCTGTAAGTTTTTCTTAGTATTTAAACTGATTCTTTATGCTGGTTGGGGTTTGAAAAAATTATTTTGGCTAAGGAGGTATCTTCACTAGCCACAGAGCTGCAGTTTAGTGGTTGTTAGACCTGCAAGACAGGAGGTCCAGAAAGCAGTTTTTCTCTTAGACATTGCATTTTTCAAACAATCTGTGAAATTACTACTATTTCCTAAATTCCTTATAACATGTCAGTGGCTGTGCTGGGTCACAAATGTTACTGTCACTCCATGTCGGTCATTAAAGGCTGTAAAATTTTTCTGTGACTGCATCTAGGAATGGTTATGATGATTCTCGATGACAAATTACTTTTCTGCTAAAATGTGGGGGGTTTGTGTTTTGTTTTTTAAATGAGCCTGGCTCATGACCTTTAAAAAAGATTTTATAGGGTTTTTTTTATATGTATCTGTATATATAAAAAACAGATTTTATTTTAGATTTTTTAATATATATATGTAAAAGCCATTCATTTCTAACCAAACTGTTTCAGTGTGACCATTTGGGTGCTATCTAGGTTTTTTTAGACAGAGTATTTCTACTCAGGGCATGTGAAGAGGGGAAGAAAGGAAAACAATGGAACTTGTGGTGTATCCAGCACTCTTCTAGGTTGAGGAGAAACTGCTGGAATAACTTTCAATACATGGAAAGTTTGTTATTGTGACAAAGAAAGCATGATACAAGACTGATTTTTTTTTCCAGTGCATTCTGTGAGTGTTGAGAAGTCAAACCAAAGGATACAGAAAAAGAGCACTGCAGTGTTTTGCAATACCAAGCATATTCTTGTGTTTGGGGAATGAAGATGATCTGGTGTTCCAGTAAAACTGGGCATTTTCATTCCTGCTCCTTATTGGAGATGTAAACTGACTGCAAATGGCATTATTTGATCAGGAGAAAGCCAAAGGTGTTCTTCTGGCTGATGTGAATGGGAGTTGTGTCTTGTAAATAAATTGGGATAGCTGCTCTGTTCACATCATGGTATGGAAAACTTTGTCTGGATTGCCTTGATCACCATACCTTCTTGCAGCTGTGTTGGTTGTAATTAACCCAACCTTGAATTGCAAATTTAATTTAGATAAGCAGGCTACAGTTCAACAGCTTGTCCAAATACTGTGTTGGAAATCACTGAGAACAGAGGTTCTCAATACTTTGTAGATACCACAGGTCAAGCTTTTTCCTCAGCTTTGACATGTCTCATCCTTACAGGCAGGATAGCTGCAAAAATACAGTAAAACAAAAATTCAGACAAGTCCTCAAGCAAAGTTTCTGTTAACCTTCAGCCAAAAGAGTTCAATTTACTGTGGTTATTTCTTGTCTGAATTGACCTGCTCCTCTAAGTGAAGCATCAAGACATTCAGAGCGTGCTGAATTTAAGAAACTTCATACCAAGAAAGATAATGTGGGGTTTGAGAAGAAGGGAACAAGATCGGTCTTGTAGTCTATGTGCAAGTTCTTCAAGGTAGCTTCAGATAAATGGTTGCACTTGTCTTGAAAATGAAACAGTATGTTTGCCATAATTGGTGTTGTGAAGGGAGGTGTTCTGATGGCATTAGGTGAACGTAGAGGAGGAATGAGAATGGGGTCGAAGTGCTGTTGCAGCAGTGTCCTTGTGACCCATCAGCTGGTTCGTTGGCTGCAGCGATGCAGGCAGAGCACAGCTGCATCCTCAAGGCACCCCTTAGCACCGGAAGGTGGCAAATGTCATTTGGTTTCCTTGAGGTTTTAGCTCTGCTTTTGTTTGGGTTATAACCCCATATTGCTGCCAGTGATGAGCAGAAAATAACACAGGGATGATAGAAAGAGCGAGGTGAACAGCAGGTTCCCAGTAAAAACAGATTTGAGAAATAGCTTTGGAAAAAGTACTAAGAGAGCAACATTTTCTAGCACGGAACAGCTAATGCCCAAGGTAGTATTAAAGTATAGGTTTATCACTGGTGGTCAGCTTTGACACCTGAGGGTTCATGTTTCTTCAGTTTGTTCCTCCATTTAAAATGGAGACTTACGAATTTCTGAATTACATTATGAATATATGAATTCTGAATTATTCCCACGTGACTTTGAGGATTAGTATTTGCACAGATGCTGTGAGTATTGAGGCTTTCTAGAAGGACTAGCTAGGTCTGCTTAGACCTGAATGGGGCGTTACAGGATAATTGGATGTGTGGCAGGTAACGTGGCAGCTTCTGTTTGGTTCTGGACTGGAGATTGTGTTTGTAAGTGCTGAAAGGCAGTCTCAGAATGTGTACTAATAAGAGGCTTGTAAGCAGGTGAGAGTCTTCTGCATCTTGACCTCCCAGCAGTAAAAAAACTTAATGTAACTTCATGGAGAAAAAAATAAATAAATCACCAAGTAGATTACAGATCCATTTAGGCTCTAAGTTTAAAAGTTGTGTTAAAGTAAAGCAATAGGGTCTTATAAATGAGTCCAAATAATTTAAGACAGTACAAAACCACCGTACTGAACCCATGGTGTGATTTGGACTGGTTTCTGTACAGGAGGTCTTATGTAAAAAGCTGTCTATTCTCATTTCTCCTCCAGATGACCTCCTGGAGCTCCAAAAGTCATCAGTCTCCTTCCGTGAGGTGACTGTTCACATCCTTGTAATCGGATGTTGCTTTCTCATGAGACAGTAACTCCTGTTTCTGCAACAAACAGGACCTGTCTTGTCTCAACTCAGTCCCACCTTCTGTGAGGCACTAGATTCTCTTGAAAGGGTGCCAGAAGATTGTCATTTGTTGGCAATGTGTTGCCCTTAATCCTCCTACAGTTGTGGCTGTAAGATGCCTATTCCTCATTCTGATACACATTGAAGCTATATTAGATTTGGAGCCTAAAAGACATGACTATTTTTTCCTTGCTTAATGTCTTCATAAAGAATGGTTGCCTCATTTTGTTGTACATTTAAATTGCCCAGGAGACCAATTCCTTTTGCCTTGCCTTGTGCTTTTAAAGATGTCACCTCTTCTTGGCCTCGCTCAAGGAGACTGCTGTGAGAGATTGGTCTTGGGTTCCTGGGTCCTTGAGAAAGCGATGCTTGAGTGAGCCAAAGAACTGAATCCCTGAAGCTCTTGGAGCAACTGTGGCAGCTGCCTGCTTGCTGAACCAGTGCCCAAAGCCTCACCACTGTTATCAGCCTTCTCCTTGAGACTGATTGCAAGTGGGATTGCGAAGGGAATCCTTCCAGCACTCAGAAGGATACTGATTATCAAGCCGTTGATAAGGAACGGGCTTGGCTGGTTCTTTGCTAACTCCCAAGCAGCTCTCTTTCTCTAAGAAGTAGTTCCTTTGCACCACTACTTGTAGTTTTGACAGTCATGCTCTGGAGACCGCCTAGCCGAAGACGGCTGTGGTTTCCTCTCGCTGGTTGGCAAAGAAGAAAACGTAACGTGACCTTTGGCTGTAAGGGCATGTTTTCACCCGAGGTTACTGTTACAGGAGGTCAACCCACGGAGCTGAGCCTGCATGTGGGGCTTTTTGTGGGCGATGAGCTAACTGTTTGTTCCACCTCCCCTCCAGAACTGTCAAGTAACCCATCTCTGGCTTCGATCCTCATCCCTGCTCATGCCCGGAACCAAGCAGCTGCTTCAACCCCTACAAACGCTACAGCGGCCTCAGGTGAGAACGTGTGCCTGCCTTCCTTCCCACCCTCGCTCCCCCTACCCCGGCATGTACCCTCTCCTGTGGTCCATGTACCCTCTCCTGTGGTCCATGAGTCACCTCGGCCCTCGGGGTGAATGGGGACGAGGGGTTCGTTCCAGCATCACCTGAAACTTCCTCTTGGTAGGTGGTCATGTGGGTGCTAGCTTTGGTAACCAACCAGATCATAACCCAGAGCACTTAGACTCCCTATTCAGATGTTTAGTTTGTTGGTCCCTCTCGCGCAGACTTTCACTGTTAAAAAAAAAAAAACCACCTCATTACCTCCCCTGGTTTTTAGCAGTCCTGGTGGATTTTGCCTCTAATTTCTGAACTCTCAGTCAGTCTGAATTTAATACTGGAAATTAATACTGGCTCGGAGCCCGAGTTTGTGATGCCTAGGAAGAGGAGAAACAGCTAGCTGCAGTACACGTGGCCTCCGTGGAGCGTGGATGGAGAGGATTTTTCCCCAAAGGGAAATAGCACTTAAAAGCTTGGTTACGGAGTTCAAGCAGTGTGCTCACTGCCTCATCTAAGTAGTTGCAGTTGCTTCTTACCGAGTTTGCTTGTGTCATCGTCGGGCACGAGGCAGATGCTTTTGGGTTTTGGCCAGCACTCAGCAAATTTCTTTTTTGCCTCTCTTGTGCTCTCTCAAGTTTCTGTTCAGAAACCTTTTAAACGCTCGCTGTTGGCCAGTAGCCATTCCGTATGTATTCTGTTTCCAGTGAAAGCTTAAAAGCTGGGTAATATCAGTTGGGCGACTCCCAGAGAAAATCCTAGGTGTGGCAGAGGTGATTCAGTACGTGGCACTCTTCCTCTGAGTCAGCCCTGAGTCAGCACGGCAGCCAGCTGTCTCCGGGCTTGGGCAGCCAAAGGCAGGCTCAAAATGGGTGTGTTTCCATACATTTCCTGCACATCCCATTTGACAAGGCCCGTGACCCCCCCCTTTGGAGGTGCAGGGCGCTTACTCGATGTAAGATAGAGAGCTGATAAGGAAAAGCTGTAATTACAAAGGTATTCTTGAAACATGCAGGTTGATGTGCTGGACGGGTACCTCATATCAGATACACTTGGTCCAGCCAGTGCTGTATAAAAAGCATTTTCATACTCCAGGACAGACAGAGGTACCCAGGTTTGAGAGATGAGGCTTCTCTCTGAAAACCTAGTAGCAGTAGATAAAAGATAGAGCCTGTACAATTTATGTGCTCTGAATTTAGGAGAAAGCAAAATTGCTAATTTCAAATTTCGTGTGTTTGTTTCATACACTTGGCAGTATTTTGCAAATAGTCATGTTCTCTGTTTCCCTCTTATGTGCATCTGTTGCTCAACAACGAGTGAGAAAAAAAAAAAGCTGATAAAGTAGTAAAAGTGATTGAAAAACTACAAAATACAAACATGGAAAATTATTTTAAGCCCTTCTGAAAAAATATTGTTTCACTTGATGTCCCTTTCATGCCTTTTAAGGAGTCCTCTTTGCCACGATACAAGTCTTAGGGAATTAATGGGGTTAAGAAGTCTCTTTTCATCCAGCACTTTCCAAGAGTTCATGGGGAGGTGGGGGGAATGCATTAGACTGAGTCCTATATGTGAAATATACTATAAGAAAAACCAAAGTCAACCCCACCTTACCAATGTCAATATTTTTAAACCTTCTGTTTGCAAGCACTGCACTGAGTTGGGATAGGACCTCTTATTCATAGTTCAAAAGACCAAAGAAATATCCTTGCAGCTTGGAAAGAAATTGTGAAATTAAGTTCAGTATTGGGCAACACGCAGCTTTGGGTTTCTGCAGCACAGCTGCCTTGTAGTTTCTTATTCATGTGGGGTTCTCACACCAGGCAGTGGGAATGTCATCAGAGTTGTGATTTTTAGGATTAGGTCCTGCATGGCGTTATATTAATCTGTTGTGCTTTGCATGCTGATGCTACACTTAGCAAGAGATTCTCATAGAAGAGGACCCTTCTTTCCCTGTGCCCCCTGCACGTCTCAGATCAGTAAATTTCTAGTTCTTCAGTAACTGCTAAAGGGGTACAGGAGCTACTCTCCCACCTAACCCAGGGCATGCCCATGGGCTGGAGGCTTTTTGGCTAAATGTTTGCTCGTGTGATAAGCAGTGCAGTTCCAGGAACGAGGAGTGATGATGAGGCTACAGAACGTGGCTCTTGAGGCAATTCCTAGGGCAAAGCAAGCTATATGTGACTGTAATCCATATGATTAGTGTGTAACTCCTGTCTCCATCTAGCAAGCAGAACCAACACTGAGGTTCAGGTGTCTGCTGTTACGTCCAGTGTATTTGCGGGCTCTGTAAGCTTGAGGCACAGGTGCACATACATGGAAATGCAGTGTATTAACTCAGCACTGTCATTAATCCAGCTGGGCTGCTCGTACCTGCTGGCAGAAAGTTACTCCATTTTCATAGCTGTGACCTTGGTATGCAGTCTTGTCAGAATGTCAGCTTTTCGATCAGGTTTCTGCTTTCTATCATGCACCAAGGCAGCCTCATAGTTAGAGAATAACTAGAAAATTGAGATCTATTTCTCCAAAGTCTAGCAGTGTTTGCCAGGAGGCTTAGCAGTGGCGTGGTGGTGAGAGCTGGAAAGATTGGCTTTTCAATGTACCACGTTAACAAGTGCAGGTTTCATCAAGCCAGCAACACTAGCACTTGCACTAACCAATTTGACACACGTGCCTTTTTTAAAAGTTACCCAAAATGAGTAATTTTTTGTTAAAATTACTTCCGTAGGTTCACAGCAGTGATTTCAATAGCCCAATGCAATAGTAAGCCTGGGATCATGATCTTAAATGCAGTGGAATTCTTGTAGGTATTTTTTGAGTGTTAAAAGATTGTATTTGTAAGTTTCCTCTTCTCTTGAGACGTGAAGCTACACTCACTGTACCAGTGGAACTTGGCTTTCCAGTGGCAGTGGGAAGCCTTGCTGCACCAGCATTAGTAAATTCATCTGTGAATTGTCTGTGACATTAGTGGCAAACTAAAGCAAAATGGAGGAAAAGGAAGATTATTATTTGCCCCTGCTTGAAATGGCGTACTGACTTTCTGGTGCTGGCCAGAATTTCACTGGCCACTGATTAAAAATGCCAGTGCAGCTTTACTCATGTGGATGTAGCTGGAGGAGGAGGAGCAGTCACACCAAGCAGAAAGCATATCTGCTTCTGTGACTACATCTTTTCCTTCCTGGATCAGCCAGCAACAGTAGTTACCTCTCTGTTAGTCAGCATTAAAACGAGAAGAGCATAATGACCATCTGCAGGGAGTTGTGCCAGCAGGGATGCTGGGGTCATTGTCTTCGGCATCCTGCTGTGTTGATCCCCTGTAATCCCAAATGCGATGGTGTGCCTCAACTTTCAGCAGCAAAACAGATTACAGCTGGAGTTACCTGCCAATGTATGGCAGTAGAAAAAGACCACGGTGCTCCATAAAATAAGATTTAATGCATGTACAGTATTCCCATTGAGGGAATTCTGGAAAACTTTAATTCCTTAAACAGGAGAAGAGGGGCGAGCAACTTGCTCAGGCTTCTGCAAGCTCAGCACAGGGATGAGTCCATGACAGAAGAGTAAAACTTGTGTGTTTCAGGCTCGCCTGGATTTCTACATCCAGAGGCAGGCACAGTAAGAAAACCAGGCTTGTCTCCTCAGCTGTCCTGTGAGGACTTCCAGGCTGGTGGTAGGATTGTTTCTGTGTCTTTGCAGATGAGCAGCACAGTCTGCCAGCATTACAAATCCAACCAGCTAATGCTGTCATTAGTGCTAATGGGCTTTCTCAGACTGAGTTGGCGTCTCTGTCTTTCTCTGAACTGTAGCCCCGTCTTTCCTTTCCGGGAGGTTTCTAAGGAGTGTCACACACCCTCCAAGACAGCTGAGGCATCCCTCAGAGGGAAAAGCTGAATTGGAGGAGGTGCTCTACGTTGATGAGAAGTACTTTTGCCCTCTGTTTGGAGGAAGTTTTGGAAGCGGTTGACACTTAAGCCCTTACGTGGTTTCTTTCCCGCACAGGCAGAGGTGTCAGGTGGGGAGTTGAGGGCAAGGACCACACCTGTGGTGTGGTCGTCTGTCCCACACCAGAAAGCTGCACATCCAGTTCCTAGCTTCACTTTCCAGCAGGGTTTCCACAGTGGCACAGGCCACTGCTTCCCAAAGCGGATGTTTTGACAGCATTGCTGAAGACTAGAGTTTCTTCTCTTATGCCCAAATACTTATTTCTCATGGTGAGGAGGAGTAAGTGAATGTCTGGAGACCCTCATACTCCAGTTGTGCTCTTTTATTGGGGCTTCAGCAAAGAGATGCTGGAACAAGCCCCTCTTTGTTCCCCAAATGTCCCGTCAATGCGGAATCAAAGAACAAATTGGAATGTCAAAATACTGCATTTTCTTGCAATTTTGGAGCCAGTACAGCCTTAAGCAGACTCTGCACTCTGTCCCAATCTGGGTAGACTTCTGTATATTGTGAAAAGCCCCATGTAAAAGGTTTTGGGCTACATCACCTGGTTTATTTTCTTTTTAACATGTGGTGTAGATATTTCTCAGGAACTCCCCCATTAGAGTGATGATAGAAAAGGAGCATATGTTACATCTGTTACATGAAGTAGCTCTATCTCCTCTTCTTTTTTTTCGTTATCTGTGCTCAGTAGCAATGTAATGATAATGATTTCAGCCTCTGCTGTCTTCAGGAATAGGAGATCAAAAGGCACATTTCATTTCAGCAAATGAAATACAAGGACATTTTTTACACATACAGAGAAATCCTCTGCCAACAGCACAGACCCCAGCTGGACTGCTTGCATCAGGCACGGCAGATGTTGCATTAGCTAGAGTTTATCCATACCTGAAAATTAATCTAGAGCAGGCACAGTGAGAGTTTAAGGTGTGGAAACTATTACCTGTCTGACCAGGTCACTTTTGATTTCTGAGACCATCGTTGGTCTGATATGGGGAGTTCTCCACGTAGGAGGGCATCTCCCATGTGCAAGGGCAGTTTTCCAAATAATGTTGGTACTGTTGTCATGCTGCTTTGGTGCTTTAACTGCATGAGGTGGGGTTTTTTATCATGGTGGTCGTTCCTTCGTGAGGAAGGGGTTGCCATTAATTTGGGATGAGAGGAAAGGGAACAGACTCCCAGAGCAGCAGTCTGGCATCCTCTGCCCACAGGAGGATTCTCCTTCCTTCCCACACACTCCTAGCAGCATTTCCTTTTCAAATAGGCATCATCCTCTCTTCCCACTTGTCCCTTGTATTCCTGGATGCTGCTGTTTATTTGATTTCCTGGTTTTGTTGCAGCTGCTTGTGTACGTTACTCAATTTGTTGCTCAGCAAGCGCTGCCCATCTCTAGACTCTCATGTCATTGCCTCTGCTCGTGGCTGCGCTTCCACCTCGGGTCAGGTCGGTGTGACAGGAGGAGAGGGGTTTCGTTGACAGGTGACTGTAGAGCATTGCCCAGGGAACCCTCCTCAGCTCTCCTGTGCTGGAGAAGTATTCCTGCACCCCCACTGCCCACCAGTTGTATTTTATTGTGGCTGTTATTTATGCTAGTCATGCTCTCCTTCAGTGTGAGGTCAGTAAATCTCTTCTTTCTTTTTGTAAGCCCTTTTCCCCCACGTCTTTTGAATGCACTGCTTGCCCGCTCTGCCCTCTTCTGTATTGAGATAATAAGTGTTATTTTTTTCCTGTTGCAGTATTGATAGCTTTGCAGTTAACCTTACTTACACTAAGTGGGAGAAATGCACAACGATCTCATGTAGAAAACCTCACTTAGTATCTTTTTCCCATCCTGTATTTATCGTGCTGAGTATTTTACGTATTTAACCATTCGTCCTCTTTCCTTTTTGTGACTGTGCTAATTAATTAGATGCTTCATAGGATGGTGCAAGATGAAGTCAATGCATTTATTTTTTTTATTTTCCCTACCAACTCTTCTAATGCTAAGAACAATTTTTTTAGAGAAAACACCTCATGCATGTGGCTTGTGAAAACACAGTGGCAGTTGAATTTCCTTTTGGTATTTCTTTGCAAACCCTGTGTTTTCTTGGAACGCACTTTGACATGTGCCCATCATCCAGGGACTTGTCTCTCTGTGGAGCAGTGTCCCTCCCAGAGAAGGGAAGGTGTTGGAGACTGTTTCCTGAAGAGACTTGATCCCCAACAATGTGGATCCCCCCACAACGTCGTGTGCTTGTGTAAACCTCGTTACTGGCTTCAGGCCTTGATGTTAATCTGCTTCAGCAGTTCGGAGGGTGGCAGATCCAACTTTGGTTGAGCAATACAGAATAAAGCAGCACGTTTTCTGGGGCAACAAGTGCATGAGTGACACAGGGACACACAAGCTGTCTCTGCTGGGACAGCAGGCTCCTCGCACTCATTGTCTGCGCTCATTCACACAATTAACAGATGCCTTTGCTACAAGCAGGCCAAACAATACGAAACTTCAACACCCATGTGGAACCTTGCAGTGGCCACGGATACTTGATGTGTTAACTTTGGGGATTCCAGTGTGCCTTGTCTTGCAGTTAGAGCCACTGGAATGTAACGTGGGCGACTTAACGCTGCGCCAGCAGTGCAGAATCTGCTAGAGGCCAGCGGGGTGTTGGCGTGCCAGCCTGCAGCCCTCAGCCCTTGAGCCTGCCTTTGTCCTGCTTAAAGACCATCTTCCCACCCTCTCCCCAGACCAAACTGTTCCATCTGCACCCCCTGAAGTCAGGAGAGCCTCCTGACCAAACGGCACCTCGGTGGGAGTTGCGGGTTTCCCCGTGTGCAGAATGTCACAGCTATTGTTCCAAATGTGTCTGTATTTTGGAGGTAATACTGGTTGTTTTTCTCTCTCCCCTTCCTCTCGCCTGTCGTTTGCAGATGTTAACGCAGGAGAACGAGTTCAGACCAATAGTGTAGCTACAGCATCAGCCTCCAACTCCACCTGAACCGGTACCAAGCAGCCAGCTGCACAGGAAAAATCACCAGTAAATTGAGTCTTGCTCAGCAACACTGGTCACATTTGGAAAGAAAATTAAAAAGAGGAAAAAAAAAAACAAAAAAAAAAACCAACCAACAAACCAACCAACCTGTTCATTTTAGTGTTCAATTTTTTATTATTATTGTTGTTCTTATTTAACCTTGTAAAATATCTATAAATACAAACCAGTTTCATTGTATTCTCACTGCAGGGTGTCCGGGGCAGGGGACTAGGTGGGGGGAGGAGGGAAAGCGGAGCAATACAACACACCAATGTCTCTCCCCTCGACAATCTCTTCATGTTGGAAGTTTGCTGTTGTGTACTTCAGAACCAGGACTCTTGCCTCATGCCCTCTCCCACAAGAGAAAAGAAGGAAAAAAAAAACAAAACAAAACAAAAACAAAACAAAATAACCCCCCAAACCTCATTCTCTGCTGAAGTTCTTTTTTTTAACCTCTTTTTTTATTTTCTTTTTAAGTGAAGTTTCGGACTTTTGATGTAGTGCACAGCTTGAATTTGGTCGGGAGCTTAGCAAGGGGTCATTCAACAAGAGCTCAGCGTTTCTTTGTCAGCGAATCCATATCCCAGGTTGTCTGAAGAACTGCCCCGGCTCGGTGCGGGGAGCGGGCGACGCGGTAGGAAAATAGGTT